ATTTTAAATTACTTCTTTTTATGGATATGATAAATTTTACTTTTTATGGATATGATAATCAAAACGATTTAAATTAAAATCACCAATTATATAGGTTAATTTATTTTCGTGGTCAGCTTTTTTTATAATATTAGTATTTAAATATGTGTTGAAGCATTCAATTTTTCCAGAAAGTGGGCGATAACAACAACTTAAAAGTATGTTTTTATTTTTTTGGGTTAAAATTTCAATTGTTAAAATCTCTTTATCGTCATCAGAAATACTCAGGTCGAGCCTTGTAAAAAATTGAAAACTTTCCTTTATGTAAATAAGCACAGCGCCGCCTCGTTTATTTGCTTTACGCGCTAATGATATTATTTTAAAACCAGGTAAATGGATATTACAGTCATAATTCACTTCGTCAGAATCGCACCACGTTTCGGTTACACAAATTATATTAAAAACGTTTAGAGTATCTTTTATACATAAGGAAAAGCTTTCAAAATTTTTTTTTAAGCTTCTTATATTTAAATGCAAGGCATTCAAATGGTCACGCTCTAGGAAGTCCTTTATTTCATGTGCGTAAAAATAACAACAATTATTTTGTAAAGCACCTGCTTCGCTAAAATAATTTAGGTCTGGATCAGATCTCTCATCAATAAGATATTTATTTGTTTGAAGAAAATTAAAGGTTCATTAATGAAGATTACTGCGAAAGAACAACGGAATTAAGAAAGAAATTGTTTATTGAAGCGAAAGAACTTAGAACAAAAGGTAAATATGCAAAAGTGGTTTATAATAAACTTGTTACGCGCGATGCTTAAAAATAGGAATTCCTTTGTTTTCGCTAGGCACTACAAGTATACTAAACTATTAAAATGGATTCAGTTATACTAGATAATTTTAAATTTATAGGCGTTCAGTCCAAAGTTTTAACTTCGAGTAATTTTCCATTATCGTTTGTTTATCTTTATAGTTTAAGAATTTGACAACTATAGTTCTGTTTTTCATTTTTCCACCATAATCAAGTTTTCCAGTTCTATGTGCTCTTTCAATTATTATATTGTTATTAATACCAAGTCTTGAATTTAATAGTTCGTGTATTTTTTTTTCGCTTTCTTCCCAAGTTTCATTTTCACTTTCTTGGATCCCATTGAATCTTAAGTTGTTTCGCCGACTGTGGTCCTCCAATTCTGCTAGTTTGTCTTTAATTATATTATCGCTGTGTTCAAGTTTTATGCTAGTTTTGTTTAAATTCGATATTGATGCTTTCTTTTTAGAATCATTCACTTCGTTTAAAATTTTTTCGTATTTTTTATTTATGAACTCAGCAGACTTCTTTAATTCGCTGATTTCATTTTTTAAAGTTGAATTTTTCTACTTGCATACTAATGAGCTTGTTTTCTATTTTTTCAAACTTATCATTAAATATTTTCAACAGTGTACTTTCATGCAACTCTAACTGCTCCTTGATTTGTGAAACAGTAAATTTTGCCATTTTTAATTTTGAAAAAAAGTACGTCCGTTCACGATCACGGTTACGATCAAAAAAAAAAAGTACGTAAAAATGTAAGTAAAAAAAAAAAAAAATGTACGTAAAACACTTTCTGATTTAAAAACTTAGTTAATTTTTATGAACTTAACATCCAAATTTGAATCGAGTTTTTTTTTCCAATTTGAATCGAAAATTTTTAAAGGGGAAAACCCATACTCTGCCGCTATTGGTTACAATATAAAAAGTTCGAGTCGAACTTGACTCTTACATTCCACCCTTTATTTGCACTTAAGTCTTTTTTTACCGATACGGCCTGAAATGGTCCTTGTAAAGAACATTACGTTTACGCGCGCAAACTTCAAGCATGTCAAATTTTAAGGGAAACCTAGGAGAGAAGATCTCGTCTACGTTTCTTGTAATTTAACAGTATTGTGTTGTAAGTACCATTATATTAAAATAAAGGCAAAAATAAAAATCTTTTTTTTAGATCTGTGCTATACCACACTAATTAACTGTTTAAGGGAGTCCCTTTGCTATAATTAATGAAAATAACATGTTTTTTTTGACTTAAAAGTTTAAACTCAATTTTTTAAAGTTTAAATTGATCTTTATTGTGCATTAAATTTATCGTCTTATCTGTCTTGATTGAAAACAAAATAACGGTTTTTATACAATAATATAAAATACGTGACTTTTTTTTATATTTTGTTCCTTTTTTTGATGTTGATTCATTGTTTTTGTTATTGTGCTTTATTGTTATTATATATAAAACATACTCAAATTTTTGTTATATTATATAATATAAATTAAATCGTTTTTTCTTTCTTTTTTTATTATTTTTTTTTTACATTTTTCTTATCAGAAGAATTTTTTTTTACAATTGTTCTTATCAGTAGCTCAACTCTGGAACTAGACTTAAGTTGGATGAAATAATATAAAATAATTCCTACAATATGGTTCAATCTATCATATATATATATATATATATATATATATATATATATATATATATATATATATATATATATATATTCTGAAAATAAATTTTCACAGATATTTATAAATATTAAATTACTAATCTCAACACCTTAAAATAATTTATATATTAATCATAGTAATAATGACAATGATAAAAACAATAACATATATAATAACTTGTAGTTATAACAATAGTAATAATAATAATAAAGTAATAATATTAATTTAAGTAAATCAGAATTACTTTTCATACAACAATCGTTCTTACATACATAGCTACAGTTACAAACAGTAATTAACTGACAAAATGTAACGATTAACAATGACATAAAAATAACTGTTGCTGAAAAAATTATAAAGATTTAGTAAATATATTAATTAAACTTTTTATAACATATTATCTAAAATATATTTTGGTTATTATATTATAACAATTTTTCTGTTTATCTATTATTGATATATTTATATATCAATAAAAGATAAACAGAAAAACACTGAGAAAATCAAAGCAGAATCAAAGTTACAACACACATTTTAAACAAAATAAATAACATTAAATTTGGCAAGTATATAGAAATAAATTTTATTGAAAATAAAACGGTATAATAAAACTTGTATGGCTAAAATGAAAATAATAGCAAGTAATACATAACTGTATATTAAATTTATATATCACTATTAATAATAAAACAAAAAATAATAAAACTATGTATGCTAAAAAACTGATGAAAAAAAGAGCATTACTACAAGGCTGCATAACTACATAAAGCTAACTAAAAATAAATTTTTAATAGATAATCCTAAAAAATATATGAAAGAAAACTAAAGAAATATAAGAAGAAATAAAAAAATCTTGGTTTTGCTTTTTTCCGATGTTTAAATATATATTTTTTATCTTACTATTTCATTCTTTTTATTTCATTCATTAAATTTTATTTTTCTATTTTCTATTACTTTTTAGTTATTTTCTTTTAGATGTTTTGTTTTCTTTTTATAAAACATTTTTCTTTTTTGTTACTTTTATTTTTCGTTTAATTTATAAATATTTTCTTTCTTCCTCTTTAAAAATATTATTTCTAACCGTTAAAATAAAAGCTTCCACCATTTGCGATGTCATTGCAAAAAGTTTTTGAAAGTTCAAATGTAGTTTATTAAATGCATAAATTTCAAAATAAGTAACTATAATTATCTCCTAGTAATTTATTTAATATATAGGATTATTTAGTAAGTAGACTGAAATGATTCTGCTTCTGTTTATGTGTGTGCATGTTTTAAATCTAAACTTATTTGCTACTTTAAGCGCTTGTGTTGCTGTATTTCTAAAGTTGATTCTATGTTAAACATTCTCTTTTAAAACACTGGTTTACTACTGACAGCATATTACTCTATTTTCTTTACTGGTTTAGATTTTTTTTTTTTTTTTTTTTTTTTTTGTTTCTTAAAAACCTGTTATATTATCCTTTAATGTCCATGAGCTTTTACATTAAGTTTTTTTTTAGCAAAGCTAAGGAACATTTGTGGGTGATTCCTTTGCTAACAATTTAACAAAATAAAACATAAACTGGAGGAAATGCATTGCTTTTACATCCTTTTTTAAATAATAGAGGTCTACTTGAAGTAGATTCGATAGTAAATGTTTTGCATTAGCATACGCACTCTTTTCACTCAGTACCTCTTTTAATGCCACTGTAAATATGCATGTTTTACAGAACTGCAAATAGCTTTATTTTACGTTTTATATGTTGTATAGTGATAATGCTGTATTTAAAAATCACTTAATTGCTAATGCACAATACAATAATGTTAAAAGTTTTTTTTTAGCATATTAATAAAAAACTTCTTTTTTCTTCTTGAAAGAAAGTCTAATTGTATCTAGAAAAATTAATAAGTTGGATCTTTAAAAATACTATTATTGTATATAGGTTTTTAGTAATATATCATTTGACACCTTACAAGATTTTTAATTATAATTTGAGTTAACAAATAAAGGTTTTACATGATAGGATGCTGTCTGGTACATAATTATGTTTACTTTTTTTTTTAACTTATTTTGCTATGTAAAACTGAATTCTTTTTACTTTTTTATGTAAATGTATTTGGATTAGCTTAACACAATTATTTTGTCAATTGAATGTTATTTATTGCAATATATTAATAATTATTTATATGCATAAATTTTCAAATAATCACATAAACAGTTGACATGTGTCAAAATAGTTTCCATACCTCTGTCCCATTAAATCGTTTTTTGAAAACTCTTGGTTCAATTTCTGGTGAGATCTTTAAAAACAGTTTCCATTTTCATATATATTTTTCATCTTTAAATTTATTTTTCAATCAATGACTTGTTTTTATCAGACATTTAAGATTTTAATATCCTTTTATAACTCATACAGTTTTCCTAGTGAAAACACTTGTATTGCTTTTTGGGTGGAATATTGCTCTATTCACAGTTAGCTTCGCTATTAGTGATGTATGCTTAAATCAGCAGTAACTAGACAAAGTTAAGTTCATGAAAATTACTTTATATATATTTACTTTCAACTAGATTATTAAATAAATAAAAATACAATGAGTGGACGTGGCAAAGGTGGTAAAAAGAGTGGGAAGTCTAAAACAAGATCTTCAAGAGCAGGATTACAATTTCCTGTAGGAAGAATTCATCGTTTTTTACGCAAAGGCCATTATGCTGAACGTATTGGTAGCGGTGCTCCCGTTTACCTTGCTGCTGTACTTGAATATCTATCTGCTGAAATTCTAGAGCTTGCTGGTAATGCTGCCCGAGATAATAAAAAATCTAGAATTGTACCAAGACATTTGCAACTTGCTGTTCGAAATGATGAAGAGCTCAACAAACTTTTAAGCGGTGTTACTATAGCATCAGGAGGTGTTTTGCCCAATATTCAGGCAGTACTTTTACCCAAGAAAACCAAAGAACCCCAAAGTAAAAGCTCTCAATCCCAGGAGTATTAAATTATGTGTTAAAGTTTTTTAAATAAGGCAACAAACATTCCTTTATGAGGTTTTTTTAATAGGTTTTCTGTTATGTAAAGTTTTACGGTTTTTCTCTGAGATTATTGTTTTTTAACGCTGATTTTTTTCATAAATATAAAACTCATGCAGAAAGAAATTTACCTTTTAAAGAGTTGCATGCTATTTTGAATGCTGTTGTATTTTTTAACTTAAAAAGATAAATGTTTTTAAAATATTGTTTTAATTTTGTATTGTTTGGTATACTCTGGAGTTGCACGGTATGCTCAACCAGTTTAAAAGTTTAAAACAAAAATAAGAAAATTATTTAATTTTTTAGTTTGATAGAAAAAGCAATAAGATAAATAAAAAAAACCCTGATTAACTGTAAAATGTTAATATAGCTTTTTTATTATAGGGTTTATACTTCTTTATTGGTTGTTTTTTTTTTAATTCTAATATAGGAAATATCATCTAAGGCGAGTATTTTTCTCGACAAAAAAAGGGGGAGGGGCTATTCGAGTTAAAGCAGAATGAATGATTTCCCTTAAGAACGCCAACGCGCCTAAAACTAGGGATGTACTTGCCGAAACCACGGTCAGTTTTTGCCGAACCAATGCTTCGGCGAGTTTTAGGTACTTAAGGGTAATAAGCAACTGTTATATTAAACAAAATAATTTAATTGCTTTCAATATAATTATTATAACTACTACTTGTAATTTACTTGCATAAAATATAAACTTTAATATATTATTAAAGTTGTATGTTAAATTTTATTCCGTTGCTATATTTACTATGATCTATTTTCACTGTAACTTGTAAAAAGTTATTTCTCATCACCATTCAAACATGATTAGTTAATGATTTTATAATTACAGAAGCAGATAACCTGCAGAAAATGAATGGCAGCATGCTGCAATAATAACACTTTGAAAGCGCTACGAAAGGTAAGATCAGACAGATCATACCGTTTCTTGACTAAGCTAGGGACTAATCAACTGGAATCAAAACTGTTGTTGATGAACTTTAAACTGATTTTAAAAGTCATTTTCATAAATGCAAAGATAACGTTTGTCTGAAAATTGCAAACCCCGTTTCAGAAAAAAAAAAATTTAAGAAACAGATCAGCATGTTTAAAGAAATTTTATATCAAGGGTACTACCGCTTTCATTTGAGTATCGATACTCTAAATGAAAGCGGTAGTACTCTTGATATAAAATTTGCTTAATTGTTGTTAATAATCGTTTAAAACAAGCAAAAGAAGTTAAATTTGTTAAAGGCTTTGATCGTAATAGTCCAATCAAAAAAAAAAGCACGGGCATGTACAGCTTATCAGACCAAATGGGTATAAATGAGAATGCTTCACAGAGATGTGAAAACACTGATGGGGAAAAAAGTATAATAGTAAAAATCCTAAAAGAAATACTCAAAACTTTATAGGAAAATGGTACGAATAAAATAAATCTAAATAAAATTGTAATTTTTTTTTATTTATTGCAAATTTAATTATAAATTGATGTTAATTTTCCAATTAATCATTATGTTGCTTTCATAGAAATTTATTTACAGGTTTATTTGCACACCAGAATTGCTGTAGATAAATTATATTTATATTATGGAAATATTACTGCAAGCAGGCACAAACTATATACAGGCAGGCCGTGTTTACCTGTAGTTACGGATCTGGTTTATATTTTTAATTTTCCATGCAAAACATAGTTATTTATCAACTATAAATGTTTATTTATAAGTTGAATAAGAGTATTCTTTTTTCCTTACTTGATTAAAGATTTAAAATACTAGTTTAAACTTTAAATTGATTCATAGTTTTGATTCAACACGGACGAAGTCAACTTCTAAATAATGAGTGCCCTTATAAGTGGTAGAGTGCTTACAATTACACCTGCTCCGATAAAGACACTAACAAGCTTTGGCATTTGGCCAAGGTTCTCAAAAAAAATTTTGTGCGTACTTCCTTTATCCGTTAAGAGTGAACCTCTGTTCAGCACAACGGGAAACATATTTTAAGCCAAAAGAAACAAGTTGTTGCCTGAGCATGGAAAGCAGATTACGTTTTTTTAACTTTATAATTTAAACGTAATTAATTTATTTAAATCTTAATAATTTAAACGTAATAAACTAATAAGTATAATAAAAACAACTTCTCTCATTTATTATAATTTATGGTAATTACTAAATAGTAATTTTATTATAATCCAAAGTACAAACTAATGTAAACTAAAGATTGTTTAAAATATAAGTTTAAAGTTTAGACTTGATTAAGTTGACGAGAAGGCAAATTAGTTTTATAATTCACACCCTAATTCAACTACTACACTACTAAGTTCAGTATTACCGGTTGTTTTTTTATAAGTTGATTAAGGTGCCCCAAGAAGTCCTTACAGTTTTATCACAGAGCACCGCGGAAGAGCATTTAATAGGAAGTTCACGCCTCTTTCCCAACCGATGTCACAAAACTTGCCGAGAGGTGGGGTTTGAACTAAGGATCTTACGTTTCTGAGGCAAGCGCGCTACCACTGCGCCACGGCTGCTTAAACTTTTTACATCCATTTAAAACAAAGATGACAACCATTTAAAACAACCATGACATTCATTTAAAACATAGTGACAATCAATTAAAATAATGTGATTTTCAATTAAAAGAATCGTGGTTTTCAATTCAAACATTTAACGCATGCGCAATCTCAACATTCTATATTATTTAAAAAAAAGGTTTTATTTATATATTTATTTATTTAAATTTATTTGTTGTTAATATTATATTAATTTATTTTAATTTAATGGAATTTATTTTAATATTAAATGGATGCCATATTTGTTTTAAATGGATGAAAAACCCAGTAAAGCGTACACACGTGTATACATATTTATTAAGCTTCAATTATTCCGTGCCGTCTTGGTACACATTTTTACATGGCCTTATCTTGTTGGTAAAACAACCATGACGTTTTTTTAAAACATTCATGATAATCAACACCTTTTTATTATATAATATTTATTTTGTCTGGGTCAGTAACTGTGCGTATAGCTGCTTTGGATAAGGCGTTCTCTTCATAGAGGAGATAGGGGCGCATTGATCGCCAGGGCGGTCAATGGCTTTTAGCTTTTACTCGTTTACTTTTGCCTTAATTTAAAAGAGATTGCAATTTAATTACCCATTATACTACCCTTATAATTTTTGATGAGATTAACTTCAGCGATAAGAAAATTGAAAATACAGTTTTTCATCATGAAAAGTGATTTTTGAAAGTTTTAAACAAATTCAAATAAATTTTTAATTAGATTTCCTTATGACTTTACAACCAATTTATTGTAAACTCATAAGTGTTAAGTTTATAATAAATTTGTTTTTTTGAGTTGGTTACTGTATTTATAGAAGTTATTGGCATCAATATATCAACTGTACCTTATGGGGCACATTGATCGTTGACTATGCGGAGCTCATTGATCAAAGTGCCCCACATAACTTATATTATATGACTTAAGTTTTTTGTTTAAATTTTATACATTTAAACTTATGATGAATAAAAAATCTTTAATTAAATTTTTAAAATTTCATTTTTAAAATGTAATAGTGTTAAAAACTAATATTAATAACATTAGTTTTTAGTTTTACATAAGTTTTACAATTAGTTTACATAATAATATTTTATAAAATATTTTTTTTAAACAATCATTTTATTTTACTTTTTTTTTTAATTTTCAGATCTTTAAATGATTAGGTATAGAAAAAAAAACAGACAGAGTTGCTACATCATGTGATACAATGAAAGCAGCTGTTAATGAAGTTTTAGAAGGCAGACCAGTGATTGTAGTTCGCAAGTTTAGTATAAGTCGAATGACTTTAAAAAGATATTTTAATAACAAGAAGCTCAACCCAAATGAATCTTTTAAGCCTAATTACAACAACAAACAAGTTTTTACTGCAGAAGATGAAAAAAGTTTGTCAAGTTATTTACTACTTGCATCAAAAATGAACTATGGACTTTCAACTAAGTCAACACGATTATTGGCATACGAGTTTGCTGTAAAAAATAATAAGATCTGCCCTTCATGGATCAAGAATAAAATTGCAGTGATTGATTGGTTGCAAGGTTTGATGAAAAGACAACCAGAGTTGTCTTTACGAACACCTGAAGCAACTAGCTTTGCTCGATCAACTGCATTTAACCGACAAACCGTAGAAGAATTTTTCCAAAATCTAAAAACAGAAATAAGAAATCGATATAATTTTGATCCTTATTGCATATATATGTTGATTAAACTGTTTGTTTTTTTTGTTTGTTTTTTTTTTCAATTTTTTGCCGTAGAAAGTTACAATTTAATAATAAAACAAATTGCTGGAGCAAGAAGAAGACATCAGTTTGTCTTATCACCGAGCCCCATAGTGACTTCATTACAGGTCGTTTTTTACAACAAAATATATAAAATCGTGATGAATTGTTTGTGATAAAATATGTAAAAATGTGAAAAACTACGTTTTACAATTGATATAACTGTTTATATATAAATTCGTTTAGTAAAATAAATTTAGAACAAGTAAAAGTTAAAACAAATAAAAGAAATAAATTGTGCTAGTTTATTTTATACTAAAAAAGAAAAAGAAAATTTAAGTCCGTAGATAATAAAAAACGCTTTGATTCAGATTTGAACTGTTCGAGTGTATTTCTTTTGATAGAAACAATCTGGGGAAAAATTTTCCACAAATAAGGTCTGCGGTGTTGGATTGAGTTTGAATTTAACTTTAATGTAAATTTTGGGATGACAAAGTTGTTATATGAGAATCTAGTAGGGTATTTATGACTTATTTCGCTAAAATAGGGTTGAAATATCGGCGGAGATAGTCCATTTTTTATTTTGTACATAAACTGTAAAACAAGATGTATGTTAATTTTGTATATATTCAATGCTCCAAGTTTGCATAAGAGAGGTTCACCAGACGCTTTTTTACTTACTCCGAAGACAATTCTACAGGCATGTTTTTGTTTACTGTAGAGTTTTTTAAGCTTAGTACAGTTTGTGCTTGCCCAGGCCATGTTACCATAGCTTAGATGACTATGTATTAATGAAAAGTATAAACTTCTTAAGGAAATGATATTTAGGAAAGGTTTTGCTTTATACATTAATGAAATATTTCTTGAGAGCTTTCTCTCTAAAGTGTTTATATGGAGCTTCCACGACAAATTTTCATCCAAGACCACACCTAGAAAGTCTATAAAATTTTCTCTTTTTATATTAGTATTATTTATTTTAAGATCAGGTAGTTTAAGAGGAATATTTTCGTTTTTATTTGGTTTATGAAATAGGATGAACTTGGTTTTTTTGACATTCAAAGAGAGTTTGTTACACCTAAACCACTCATTTATTTTTATGTAATTCTTTGTTAACTATGTTAAAAGGTGTCCTAATGTCTCTATGCAAATAAAACAAATTGGAGTCATCCGCAAACAAGATTAAATTTAATAAGTTTGATGTTGAATATAAATCATTTATATAGAGTAAAAATAATAATGGTCCCAAGATCGAGCCTTGGGGAACCCCGCAAGTTATGGCGCTATTTGTTGTTTTTGTTGTTTCATGCTGAATATATTGCTTTCGGTTTGATAAATAATCTTTAAACCAAAGTAAGTTATTATTTTTTACTCCATACACTTCGAGTTTTTTTAGAAGAATGTCGTGATTTACGGTATCAAAAGCTTTAGAAAGATCAATAAAAACTCCTAGCGTAAAGCAATCATTACTAAAAGCATTAGATATTTGATTAACTAGCTCAATTATAGCATGGTCGGTTGAGTGGTTTTTTTAAAATCCGAATTGTTTACCGTATAAAAAATTGTTTTCCGTCAAATAATTGTAAAGTCTATTATACATGACGCGTTCTAGGAATTTGGAAAAACATGGTAAAACTGATATAGGTCTATAATTATTAGTATCAAATTCATCTCCAGATTTAAAAATAGGGGTGACTCGAGCAATTTTTAGTTTATCCGAGATAATGCCTGATTTAAGCGAAAGATCGAAGATGTGGTGCAATGATGGTTCAATGATATCAAATACTGATTTTACGACAAAGCTACTGATATTATCAAAGCCCGCACTTTTGTTGTTTTTTAGATTGTTTAAAGCGGATCGCAGTTCATTAGAATCTAGATGTGTTTCTTTCATAATCTTTTCTGTGGTAAGGTTCTTAATCAAGTAAGAATGAAATGTTGCAGAACTCGACGGAATTTCTGCTGCTAAATTCTGACCCACATTAAGAAAAAAGCTATTTAGATATTCAGCTATTATTATCTTATCACTGACTAATTTACCATCAATTAAAAGCTTTTTCGGGAGATTGCTTTTTGTACAGTTATTATTACCGATTATCTCTTTAATCGAATTCCATGTTTTCTTAGCATTGCCATGGTTTTTTTTGTAACAAATTTGAATAATAAAGCTTTTTTGAGTATTGTTTTGTTTTTTCAAACAAGTTTTTATAATTTTTATAAGTTATTTCATTTTTATAAGTTTTATTTTTTAGGAATTTGTCGTAGAGTTTTTGTTTTTTTCTTGAGGATTTGATTAAACCTTTAGACATCCAAGGAGTTAGAAGTGACTTTTTGTTTATAACAACAGTTTGAACTGGAAACGCTTTTTCATAATATTTATAAAACTGACCTAGAAAAAGTTCGTAGGCGTTGTTCGCATCGCTTGATTGCAATATAAGATCCCAATCAACATTGTTTTTTAGTAAACTTTTAAATTTTTGTAAGGAGTTTTCATTGATCTCTCGTTTGTATAAAGGAGGTTTGGGAAAGGTATTGTTTGGTGCTATGTTTTTAGTAGTTAAGAAGATGGGAAAATGATCTGAATAGTCTGTCTTAATTATACCGGTGAAAACATGGGAATTGTTGGTTATTATATTATCGACTAAGGTAGAAGAATTTTTAGTTACTCTGGTTGGCTTGATAATTGTTGGAATGAAATTGTGCTCAAGTAGAGTATTAACAAAATGTTTAACACTATTATTAGAAGTATGCTTCAACAAATTAATATTTATATCACCAACTATGTAAACACGCTTTTGTGCGTTATTAAATTTGTTTAAGAATGAGCTAAGATGAGTTTTGAATGTTTTAAAATTCCCACCTGGTTGTCTATAAATAGTATTTATGATTATGTTTTTAGAGTTTTTATTAACTAATTCTATGCATAATGACTCACAATCTGTTTCATTCACACTTAGATCCCTACGCAAAATAAAGTCGATTGAATTGTGGATATAAACACTTACGCCTCCTCCAGCATGAATTTTACGCGGTTGGTGAACAGATGTATAATTTTTTAATTCAAATTGTGGATTTTTTTCACATTTACACCAAGTCTCTGTAAAACAAATAATGGCGAAATCGTTTTTTATTTCGTCAAGTAAAAATTTAAAATTATCAAAGTTTTTGTTAAGACTTCGTATATTAATATTTAATATTGAAAATGAGACTTTGTTTTGGTGAAAATATTTTGCGGTTTGGGAAATTGAGTAGTAATTACTTTCATATGTTATTTGATCAAAGTATTTTGTATATGTATCTTTATCACTGAGACTTAAATTTTCAGGAGAATATTTTAACTTTAAGTTGCCCTCCATTTAAAAATTAATAAAAATAATAAAAAAAACAACTAAATATAAAGAAAAAAAAGAATAAAGATACTTATTTAGTGTTCCGATTTAACTCCTTCACAATCAGTTTATCATATGCTAAAACTGCATATTTTCCGGAATTTCTTGCAATCTTCATTTTCTCAATAAGATTACGTCGTATTTTATTTGTTTCTTCCGAAAAGTCCTCGTTTATAAAGATCCCTTTTCCTTTTAGTTTCTTTGCATTTTTCAAGATTAGTTCTTTATCTTTATAATTTAACAGTTTAAGTATAACAGTTCTTGGGGTATCCATATTATTATAAACTTTTCCAATTCTGTGTGCCCTTTCTATTACTATATTTTTTAGCTGAAGCTGTTCATTAAAAATTGTTTGAAGTTTTTGCTCAGTATTTTGCCAAGTTTCTCGTTCATTTTCTCGTAATCCGTAAATTCTTATATTATTTCTTCTATTTCTGTCTTCAAATTTTCTCATCTTTTCTTTTAGCTCGTGGCATAAGATTTTTGCTTCGTCTAGATTTTCTTGTCCGTAAACGGTTTTATTTGAAACGTTTGCTATTTCGCTATTAATAACTTTGTTTAAATCTTTATTAAGAGATATAATTTTTTCATCGATCAAAGTATCCTGAGTGAACTCAATACTTTTCTGAAGGTCTTCAACAGTTTGTTGTAAAGTTTTTTGTTTTTTTTCTACTAATAACAACCGTTTAGTTATTGACTCGATTGATTTTAAGATTTTATCCATTTTTTCATTTTGAATTGTTGAATTTCCAGAAATAATCTTTAGAATTGAATTTTCTTGTACTTTAAATTTTTCTTCCAACATACTTTCAATGTCTTTTTTGCTTGCCATGTTTAATTTAGTTATATTTTTTAAGTATAAATATATAAATCTGTAGATATATATTTATAAATTTTTAAGTTCACTTTTAAGAAATATTTACGTCCGTTCGTAAATATTTACGTCCGTTCGTACAAAAGCCAGTAAAAGTGTTAGCAGGCAAAGGAAGTAAACAAGTAGGAAGAATCACATCTGAAAAACGAGGAACATTAGTAACTGTATGTTGTGCTTCAAATGCAATTAGAAACTCTATTCCTCCGCTATTTGTTTTTCCTAGGGTCAAATTTCATGATTACATGATAAATGAAGGTCCTCCTGGATGCGTGGAATTTGCTAATCCTTCTGGTTGGATGAATTCAGACATTTTTATAGAATGGATAAAACATTTTGTGAGGTATTCAAACTATTCTCATTTTCTTGTGAAAACTTAACGGTACTTCATAAAATTGAAATAACGATGGTGGACGGCAAAGTTGCTACAGCATTATCTTCAGCAACTACATCTTCTCAGTGATGTTCTGTTTGTGGATGCATCCAAAAAAAAATGAATGATCTTAATTCAGCTAAAAATATGCCATTGACAGAGATAGGTCTCTGCTTCGGTCTTTCAACTCTCCATGCTTGGATTAAAAGCATGGAATGTCTTCTTAAAATTAGTTATAATTCCACAGTGGAAAAGTGGGCTACAAGAACTACATCTGAAAAAAAAATTATTCAAGAACGAAAACAGAAAATACAGATAAGGTTTCGTGATGAAGTTGGACTGATAATTGATATACCAACATCTGGTGGCTCTGGGTCTTCAAATAATGGAAACACTGCTAGAAAATTTTTTCAGAATGCAGAGAAGTTTGCTCAAATTCTTGAACTTAATGTCAGTATGATAAAAATGTTGCATGATTTTGTGTACATTGTCATCTAATTTTCTAATTGACTTTTCACTATTTAGAGAATACTGCTACAAAACAGCTGAGAAGTATGTAATCCTTTATCCATAATATCATATGCAACAGAGTCGGCATCACATTCTTATCCATGGTTGGTAAGTTATAGAGAGATTGGCTTTGCCTATTGGCATGCTCAGCGAAGAGGCACAAGAAGCTCTAAATAAAAACTTTAAGAAATTTCGAGAGTCATTTTCCAGAAAGTGTTCGCGTTCCAAAACAAATGAAGATTTATTAAGGAATGTTCTTCTGACCCTTTGATAAGTAGTTTGAGAAAACCCCATCATCCTAAGAAAAACGCTCTTCCAACTGGAGTTTTTGATCTTCTTAAAGAGGTTCCAATTTTTGACTAATTGTCAATTACATAGTTTTGATCTTCGTTGGTGTTTAAGATGGTGTTTACTTTATAAGTATTTAATATTTTCATAATAAAATAATGAATATAAAAGTTTGTTTGTTTTCTTATAAATTCGTTATAAAATTTTTGAATTAAGAAAAAGTTTCAAAAAAAAATTACCAACTGGTTTCTAAGAGCCCATAACAGCATAGCGACACCAATAATTGATAATTTTTTGTTTGTGTTATTCAAATACATAAAATAGCAATGTAGCATTAATATCAGTTTAGTTTATAACTTTGATATTTTGAGAAAATCTTTTTATTTAGGTAACTATGCAAAATGCCTGTTGATATGAAATATAGGTATCCATGGCAACCAAATAAACAATCTAATGGTGCCATTAGATTTGTAATATGAAATATACTCAAGCTGCTTATTATGGGAAAAACCTGATAAATATTTTAAAAGTTATTAATTTTGTCCAGCTAATAATGATTTTGGCCCACTGTGCGATGGTGCGAAATATGACTAGAGCTTGCTTCGAACCCTAGGTATATTGCTTCTATAGCAAACGCTCTAACCACTGCGCGTATATAACGTTTTAAACGTTGACTTTCACGTTTGTAACAAATCAGAATTAGGATTGCTTTTCTGACTTCAGCCACATTTTTAATTTCTTTATAAATAACGAGGAGAGAAAAAATAAATCGAGATAACTTTGAAAAAAGTATATAATTCGTACGTTCGCGGAGGGGCGGACGGGGGGCGGGGTCTTCGAAAACGAACAGGTTCGTACAAGGGGGATCCCAAATCAGTGGTTTTACTGCGTACGTCATTATGGATGCCCCCTTATGAAATCTTTATAGCTTATATTGTTTTTGAACGAATATGAACGATTTTTTATTTATTAATTTTTTTACATAATTCATATTCCCAAGGTTGAGTAGGCCACTTCAATCAAGGAAACTACTTCTTATATTGGTTACAACCCTCTCTCAACTCTGAAAGAGGGTTGTAACCATTAGAAACAGGTGACATACATAAAACATATAATATATTTTATAATTTTACTTTATGAATTGAAATCAACTTTATAGCTTTTGAATTTAACTGAAAGTTTAATGAAATTTTGAAATTGTTACCAAATTTAACTGAATGCCGAATTTCTATTTCAAATTCGGCACCGAAGTCGAAGCCAAAGTCAACTTTGCCTTTCAGTATAATTCGTTATCCGAATTTTAACGAATATTCGCCGGTCCTTATGCCTGAATGCCACATGTCTAAAGTAGCAAGTTCTATACAAATATTAATAAGCAATATATAAACTTATTTGTAACTAACAGAAAAAAGTTGCTATGAAAAAAAAAAAATTCACAACTAATTTAAACTTGCAGTGTGATATAGCATGACACGTGTCTAAAATAGCAAATTATAAAACTTGAATATACAAATTATAAAAATTTTTATATTACTTTGTTGTAACTAGTCTGAATAAATACCCATTAAAAAAAATGCAAATAAGCATTTTACAACTGATTAATTTTACAACTGATGAAACTTACAGAGTGGTATTGCATGCCACATGTCTATTCGAGTTGCAAATTATAAAAGCATATAAACTAGCTCTATGTAAACATAGCTGCAACTTACCTAAATAATGATACCCATCAAAAGAAATGTTAACATTTTTAATTTTACAACTGATTTAAATTTATATCGCAAGTTACTACATGTCACGTTTAAAATAGAAAATTATACAAGAATATTTACAAGTCATATACTCTCTATTATAGAAATGATTGTTCAACTAACACTTTACTTTATCATATAAAGAAAAATTAAAAATATACTCAAGGCTTTATATAGAAAATTTAAAATAAGTTTAACAACCTTCGAAATTACAAATAACAGAGTGTAATTTAAAGTGTGTTTATCCATTTGCTTAAATTACGCATTTTTTTAGGTAGCACATATGTGCTATATAAGTGATGTGAAGCTATCTATGTACACAGATAGCTTCATATTTAGTCGAAATATGAAGCTATTTAAAAAATGGAAAGTTAAACTTACTGCAACAAACCTTTTATATACGACTTAATTGTGGTTTAAGAAAAATGGTTTTTAAAACTTTATTATTTATAAATAAAGAACTATAATATATTGACAAATCTAAATTAAACAAACAAGGTTTAAAAAGAAACCCTTTTTAATAAATAAAGAACTATAATATATTGACAAATCTAAATTAAAGCAAAAGTTCAGTTGTTTTTCAACGGATTTGAATATTTAATCCGCTGATTCAAAGAAATTTCGAAGAACCCGTTAATAGTTAATTTTACTCCGTTAATTTTGTGATTTTTGTTTACGAATTACTTCGCTAATTTAATAAATGTAATAAAACTACTAATATTAGAAAAGGATGTTGAGGAAATAAAACGAGGACTTACTTTTGTTGAAAATGATATTGAAACCAAAGTAATCAAAGTAGATAGTAATATGGCGATAATAAAAGAAACAATAATTGGGGTAAAGTCGTTTCAAGGAAAACAATAATGGGGTAATATTGGCGTAATATTACATGACAATATTGGCGCTATATTGGATATCTTGGCCAACATTGGCCAAGACACCCAATGTTACACCAATGTTACGTCAATATTGTTTACTATCTGGGAAGTATTAAATCACTCCCAGCAGCAAGGCATATATCACATTGGCAAAGCTGTTGGTTTCTAGTAAGAGTAGTTTTTTTGATCTTAGAGAAATCAAATGCAGGGCCGTCCCGAAGAGGTCTTTCATGGGGGAGGGGGGCATGTATTTTTTTGCCGCTAGAAACACATAAAGAAAAAAAAAAAGGTCCTCAATATTTGCAATTTGTCAACTATAATTCAAAACTTGCTCAATGTGCCAACTCAAATAATTATATGACAACTTGGGGGGGGGGGACATTCCCTACGCCCCCCTTCGGGACGGTCCTAATCAAATGCATTATATGCTGACATGAATATAGAACTAGTTAAGTAAACAACTGATTTAAAGCTAACAAACTCTCGCTTAATGCTGAGAAAACAAATTATATACTACTCCATAAAAAAATACAAGAGGAAAATCTTCCTCTCAAATTGCCTAAACTATTCCTAAATGATAAACTAATTAAAAAGCAATCCAATATAAAATTCTTAGGAATCATTGTTGATGAAAATTTATCCTGGGTTCCTCATATAATATACATCCAGTCAAAAATCACTAAAACCATAGGTTTGATGTATCGAGTTCGCTCTTACGTCAATACACAAAGTCTGAAATTAATCTACTTTGGGCTAATACATAGCTTCATCAGCTATGCAAACATTTCATGGGCAAGTACTCAAACATCAAAGCTTAAAAAACTGTATAGTTTGCAAAAACATGCTTGCAGAATCATTTACTACAAGGATAGGCGTGAACACGCTAAACCCTTAATGAGTGATATGAAAATGATGAATGTGTTTGAAATAAATGTCTATCAGCATTTAATTTTCATGTATCGTTACAATTACAATATCTTTCCTATAAGTTTTAATAACAAGTTTGAATTAAATAAAAATGACAACTCTAATCTTAGAGCAAATATGTTGAACACATATAAACTGCCTCAGATAATAAATAAATATTCAGAATATTGCATTTCATATCGAGGTCCTAAAGTATGGAATATCTTTCACAAGGGATTCAAAGGTACGGTAAAT